GTCTACTTCTTGATGATACTTCCCTAGACTTTCTGCAACTTGTAAGCTTCCAATTCCACAACTCAGCTCCTCTGAGAGTGCAATGCAGTAATCTTTGATTCTCACTTGCAGAATCTTAATCTTTTTTACTAAAGCAGAAAGTGTCAGATCCATTTTGGTCGCTGTAATGAGGTCGGCAGTGAAAAAGAACGAATGCAAGAAAAATCCCGCTTCGTTGGCTACAGTTTTGATTTCTGTCAATATATTGTTGTTCTCTTCTGGCTCAGTATCCCTAAGAAAATTGAGCAGGGATTCCAGCTCCTTCAAATGAATTTCGACTTGATAACTCACCAGAACGCTCGAATTCAGTAATTCTCCAATAGTTTCAACAAGAATGCAAATTTGATATTTACCTCTCATGGCAATCTACCGAATCACCGGTTGATGTTGCAACCTCATCCGCACTCATTTCATTCTAATCTTGTATTAGAAAACAAATTCAAAATTCAAACCTCAAAACATAACAATCAAAGAAGCTGAGATAAAATTCAATCCATTTTTTGTAACTTCTATGGAAATTAATTATAGAAGCGCTTCAAGATCGAATTAAATTGCAAGTTAGGTTCTGCCCGCTTTATCCTGAAGTTCTTGCAAGTGGAAGTTTAGACTATGAAGTTCGCTTCTGGGATTGACAAATTGAAGAGTGTATAGGTGTTGTAAAATTTTGTTTCACAAGTGTACGACCCGTAACAAGTAATAGTGGACCTAAGAGTCCGAATTATCGATCCCACAATGACTATTTTCTAGCACTTAATTCAATTTTTCTTTAACTACTATTTGACTAAAATAAATTAAAAGTTGTAAAATCTGAGTTTTAATCTAAATTCTAGAAAATAAATGGATGTTCGCACAATTGGTTGGAGAATCAAATAATGAATGGATGTTAGGGCAGAGCAACTTCACCAATTGACCACCTTTACATCTCAAATTAAAACTCAATTCTAATGTAGTGCTCGATCGAATTCTCCTATTGTATTCAATTTATCCCTCTCGAGTTCTCATTGAGTCTATTCAACTAATTAAATTTCATATCTCTATGCAAATTCAACTTAGATAAACGAGTTCTATGTCCTAGGAATTCAATTATGACCGCAATAAATGGTATAGGTATCTCTACTTGTTATACAAATGTACTGAATTTTACTACATGGTCTAAATATTAAACTCATATCTCTATTTGTAAAGAATTCACAAAAATCATCAAATTATTGATCAGATAATTTAATGCATTCAACTCATAGCAAAATCAATACATGAAAAAATTAAAAACATGAAAATCTTAATAAGAGAATGTAAAAGATCTCAATTGATTACATCATTCCCCCTAACAACGAATTTAGCTACTCATAAAACAAGAAGAAAAGTAGGAAATTATCTTAGAATACATCACCGAGTTTGTAATAAAGATGTAGAAAAAAAAGTAAAATTCTTGCACCAAGATTTCCTTCCTCTTTCAATGAATGCTTCTAATCTCCGATTACTTGGTGTTGATCTTCTTGAATTTCTTTTTTAAATCTCCCTTCTTGTTATCTTCTCTCCAATATGTCAAGAACCTTTCAAAAGTATAAGAAAGATGTATTTATAGGTGCCCCTCCGTTTTACGTAGAAGTAGGGTTTTTATGGATTTAAAAACGGTCCAAAAAAAGCGCCCTAGATATTCAATCGCAGCACCTAGGCACTGACTTTCTGTCAAAATTTCAGCATCACGGCATCTGGGCGCTGAGGGATAGCGCATGGGTGCTGAGGACTACTTTAATTGCATTGCACAGCTTTCAATATTTTTATCATAATTCTTTCTCCCGATATCCGATTGAGACGATTCAAGATGTGTTGGAAAGGTAACTCAAAGGGCTACAACTTTGTTTCAGATATTATTATCCAATCCGATCGTTTGCTATGTCAAAAATGAGTCTCAATATGAGGCTAAAAACCCGATGCAAAACTTTTCGGTTGGAAAATGATTTATGATCATATCTTGACTAAATTTGATCCCTTTGACACCTTCCTTCATCCAATTGGCTTCTAGAACTCTCGGATCTTCATTTCAAGTTTCGACACGACTTTTGATTAATTGCATTTTAATTCTCGAACTTTGGATCTCTTACATTTTGGTCATTTCATCCAATTTCGCTAATTTTTGCCTATTTCCTTCATTTGGCCTCTTTTAACTCTTGTTACCTCCACTTCCATCAATTTACAAAACAACACCAAAATTACTTGTTAGCACTTCTAAAATACTCTCCAGGATAGCAAAATCATAAAATTAATGGCATAGTATAATGAGTGTAAATCACTCATCAAGCAGCAAGATGCTAAAATATGATTGGAGCTAATGCTCGCACATGATAAATTTTAAGAAGTTGTTGACGAAGATGAATTATCCGGCACGATGGCAACATGATGGGATTTTAATTGAACTGTGGCCTACTTTTCTCTCTCTCTCTCTCGCCTCCATAGCCTCAGCCTTTCCAACCACTAGAGTGGATAAAATGAAGGTATTGATTTGGTATATTTTGTAAGTGATTTGTAATATTTTGAAAATATAGGGTTATAGTTGCAATTAGTTCTCTATCTTTTCTTTTCTTTTTGTTTTATTTGAAAGAATGGTAAAATCGTCAAAAATGGATGAAAATGATCTTTTGCACAATGAAATGTAAAAGTAGGGGTGAAAATGCCAAAAAAAAAAAAAAAGTATGGATGTTTTGTACTATTTACCATTTTTTTCTAATTTGGGTCATAAACCCAACAATTTTCACCTTGATTCAAATTCCAATACAACGAACGAAGTTTCAAAATTTCCCTACCTAGAAAAATATGTCCAACTGCATTGAAATAACCGAATTCTTCAAAACTAATCAAAACTCTCTATCACAAAAAAAAAAAAAAAGTCTTTCTTTGCCCAACGACCACAAGCAACATTCGAATCCAACTCCCGAGTTCCCAAAATTCCTTCAGGGAATTATTGTTGACCAAACAAGGTTGAAGCACATCCTGTAGCAGAAACCACACCAAATGCGTAGTCAAAAGGTCACTTGCTAGAACTGTTACCTTCAACAATTCCGAAAGCATCACAGACATCATTGTACCTACACTCCATGAGTCCAACCCTAGCAATTAAACACAGTGTATCCACTAAAATTGATGGCAAAGTGGAATCACCAATGCTCCCCTAAGCAATGTTCTGAACCAACCCAGAGCCTGTCATAAGAGGTACTGTATCAAACTAAAATCCACCATGGCACTGAACTTGTCCAGGTGTTTCTTAACTGGTTCTGTGCTTCTCTGTAAGATGTACAACTGAGATTTTTTCCACCCCTCCAATACAACTTGGACACCCTTTCGGACATTTAAGACTCCACCTCCACCAGAGAAATTACCCTTTTGCATCCAGGGTACTCAGCAAGATGAGATTCATTTTCAGATCTAAAGCATTTTGAACCTGATCAATTACTCTGATTGTCCCATCCTACAACCTTAATCTCACTCGACCGATTCTAGCAACACAACAAAATTAGTTGTTTCCCATCACAATTCCACTTTGCTTGACAACCTCATGTCTGAAAGAAGTTCCAATTGGAACACATATGATGCGAATAGGTCGAATCGAGAATCCACTCCTCTTCAGATTTAGACTCCACGTCATATACCACGGTCAACATCCCATCACTGGCATCCAAAAAGTCTTTGATAACATTAGTCTCATTCGAATTGCATGATTGCCCTCTATGATTTGCAGATAAATTACCTTTAGCTTGCAACTTATAGCAATCTGTTTTAATGTGTCCTTTCCTCCTACAGTTGAAGCAGTACAAATTGCTGAAGGTCGTCCTCAATCTACCCCTTCGTCGATCACCATGAGATACCAAAGTTTCCCCATCCCTCAATGTAGTTCCAACCAAATGCTTCATCATCTCCTTTGAGAGCAGAGCATCGTAAATATCCTCAATGGTCAAAATATCACGACTGTACAAGATGGTGTCCCGAAATGACAAATAAGAGGCGAGCAACGAACACGATAGGATCAAGGCTGGGTCTTCCTCATCGTATTTAACCTCTAATGTCTCTAAATCTACAACTATTTCATTGAACACAGTAATGTGGTCTTCCAGTGACCTTTTTTCTGCTATACGATGGGAATACAGCTTTTGCTTTAGAGCCAATTTGCTTATGAGACTTTTAGTCATGCATAACTATTCCAATTTCAATCACGAAGCAGGCGTTGTTTTCTCCTTCAAGTCGTTTTACAAAATATTATTGGATAAATGAAGATGAATCTGCAACAAAGCCTTCTAATCCCTCCGTTGTCCAATTAGCTAGCATCTTCTCAAAACCCAACAATGCATCATCCAAATTCAATTGCGCCAGAATAGGCCTCATCTTTACTTGCCACAAAGAAAATCTTGTATTGCAATTCAATATCAAAATATCATATTTCAATGTAGTCATCTCTAAAAAATTCCAATCAAATCACAAAGAACATGCAGTCTGACTCTGAGACCACTTGTTGATCCCAAAGGGCACGCAAGGATTGAGATTAATGACGTTGTATGAAATATGTAATAAGATCACAAAAATAAAACAAGATTTAAAATAAAGAAATCAAAGAGAGTTTAGTAGAGAAAACGATATTTTATTATAACGATGATATGGAGAGAAAATTACAATACAGCAATTTTGCCTTGACCCTTGACGGAAGAGGCCACTATTTATAGGTGCATACTATACCATAAAGATGGAAATAATGTGAAATAAGGAAATAACATATTTTCAATAAAATCACGTGAAAATAAGAAAATAATTCTTTTTCCCCCTAATTTGGGTCATAAACCCAACAGCACCATCAAGATTATAACACTTGATGCTTCTGAATTACCGTCAAGAGAAAGGTGGAACCTTTTTTTGACATCAAAGTGGGATAGTAAGAGGAACAGAAAGAATATACTACATAAGAACTACAAATATACTGCAAGAAAACATATTCTTCTCAGTACGAGAAACATCAGCATTTTAATGTTTATTTGAATCAACAGAAGAGAGTATATTCTCCAACAAGCTAGTATATTCTCCAACAAGCCTGAGCTCAAGAAAGAAAGTATACACAAGGTTCTGATGGGATAAAGAAATTTGTTGCGGAACATACCTCGCCAGACAAGACAGGTATCATATTTAAAAAACATAATCTATATCCTTGCTATTCACACATTAGAAATTAAAGTCGAGCTAACGGCTTCATTTCCTTGGTTGTTTTACTGTAATTGTACACACCAATGCCTCGTTTTTTACCTAGACGACCAGCATCAACATACTGCACGAGAAGTGGGCATGGTACATACTTGCTGTCCCCAAGGCCAGCATGAAGAACTTTCATAATTGACAGACAAACATCCAATCCAATAAAATCTGCAAGTTCCAAAGGGCCCATCGGATGGTTTGTCCCCAGCTTCATGCCTGTATCTATGTCTTCCTTTGTTGCTACTCCCGTATATAGTGCATGAAATGCTTCATTTATCATTGGCATTAGAATCCGGTTCACAATGAAGCCAGGAAAATCCTGAGAACAAATAATTGTCTTGCCAAACCTGCAACAGACCATTAGTTGAGTAGAAAACTTCTCAGGCAAAGAAGTTGAAATCGCATGGTGCCATTTAATGGAAAAAGAAGCAGAAAATTATCACACTACTATAATGCATCAATATAATAAATGCTAAAAAATAAGACTACTGAGGATCAAATTGAAGGCCACTTACGTAGAAGGGGACGAAGGTAACCAGGGTAGCAGAAGATATTGGGCCCTAACTTTTCTAGAGCTGCTTGTGTAACTAAAACTGTCGAAAAATCAGAACCTGATATATCCTCTGTCAAATATCGTTGGTGATAAGTCTTCCGTGAATTAAGTTTATTATCCTGACAAAGTAAAACATATTTCCAACTTGTTACCTTGTTTTTCTGTAACTACTCTACAACCTTAAGATTGTTTCCTACTAGCTAACCTAGTTACCATTTTGATGAGTCCAGATGCGAAGAAGAGTGGAAATAAAGAACAGCCATGCACCTCACTTTAAATGAGACTTTAATGACCTTGAGGAAGTTTTATGTAAGCATTTGGGAGGTAAGCTCTCCTTAAAAATTTTGATTACTAAAGCAACAACATGGTTTGTCTGATCATTTCAATTCTATACCAAAATAGGCCATGTATCAAATCAACACACATTTTGTTTGAAAGTATATAACCAGGTGTAAGAAATTCCTAGCAATGTAGCCTTAAAAACAAAAGACTTTCTTGCAGTGAACCACCAGGGATATGAAAACTACAAGCTTCACCTCTAGACTTAATATAGATGAGCATCGTTCACATAAACAATAATCATAATAGCACAGAAACTAGTGTTCTGTTCACAGACCTCTCTGCCAAGCATTTTGTGGTATTGAACGTATCATCTGATGTATCTGCACCCCTAACAATCTCAACTAGTTTCATTATAGGTGGAGGATTCATAAAATGCATGCCAATCACCTGGAAATGATAAAATAGTTGATTGAATTTTTAGCATAATACAAATATCTATGGTGGAACAAGATTTACTCTAATACAAGCTCATAAATGCTATAGCAAGCAAGCAAGCAAAATGTTTGCACAAATTAGATTGCTGGATATTTCTGAGAGTTACAAACTGCAGGCATTCATGAACAGCTATTAAAATCATTATCAATAAACCGTAAAATGATCAGAAGACAAAAAAAATCGATATTATTCTATAGTATTTTCATTGCAAAATGTCGCTAGTTGCTGAAATTATTAAATAATATTTATGTAAACCCTGGCAAAACCTGCATTCGGCAAGGAGGCATGCTATAAGGAAAAGAAGACAGTCATTGCCTTGAAAGGCAAAAAGCATAATGAAAAATTTTCATATTTAGCCCCAAGTCTACGTAAGCATATAATTAAACAGTAGGCATAAGGTGATTCAGGCAAAGTATTTATGAGTAAAAATGTAATTAGTAGACATCAAAACATTAAAATAATTATTCATCATGTCAATCATAACTTTGAGTGATAATGGATAATTACTATTTACAGCTGATCTTGGCAGGCTTGGTAGGCTCAGTTTAGTTAATAAATCCAATAATTCCACAAATCCTACATTGAGCTTGAGTACCATATACCTCAAAGGAATGAGACATCCATGCTCACTTGGCACTTAACGCTCACCTGGCCTTATGGTCAACACATGTAATCCTAGAACTTAGAGAGTCTCAAGAAAAGCCTAGATCTCCTTCAAATATCCATTTAAATAACAAAATTCCCTTTTGGGTACTGCAGATATATGGCAAAATAGAAATTTTAGAAGCGCATTGAATATTTGTTACAGCAACATAACTAAGAAAAACAATCTGATACAGATCAAACTAATTAGTATCTTGCAAATAGGGATATGACAGTCAATAATTGTCTCCACTATGTCGTTTTATACTTTCCAATGCAATGACCATTCCTCTATATCAATTCAGTCCTCCTTCTATATTCGTATGGAAAATATAGGCATTCAATAAAGATGATCCAATTCAATACTCACATGCATTATTTTAAAGCTAAAGAATAATAGTTCATTACCAATAATATGAGTCATGTTTAATCATTAATTGCTACAGATTATTAGCACATGGTGTTATGTGTCCAGTAAAGAGATCAAAACCTGGCTTGATCGACAGGTTATGGATGCTAACCGAGTTATCGAAATAGAGCTTGTATTAGATGCCAAGATTGCAGAACCTTTTACAATCTTATCCAAATGAGCAAACAGTTTCTTCTTCACATCCTCAGACTCCACAATGGCCTCAATGACAATATCTACTCTATGAAAATCCTCCAAATTCGAAGCACCTTTTAAACGCCTGAAAGCATCAGCACCTTTATCCTGATAAAAGGTCAAATTGCAATCAAACGCACCCTTAAAACAATTGACCTTAGAAAAATTCATCAGCTGATCAGATATGTTAAACAAGCTTTAGCAGCAAGTATTTTGTATTGCTGAAAATGCCCAAAATTTCTTTCTGTTATCAACAACACTAATAATAAATGTATTTTGCACATTTATCTGGACCGTGAGCTAATTGTTATTAATTTTTATGATTTATGACTTGATTATGTTTATATTTCATTTGTTAGGTAAAACTCGATGTAAATAGAAGGAATTAGACAAAAGAAACGAAAAAAGAATGAAATTAGAGGTGGGAGAGCAAAGTGAAAATATCCAATAGTTGATTCGGACCATAAAAGAAGTAAACTTATCCCCAGTTTAATTGTAGAAATTAATTTTTAATTTTAATAAAGTAAACGTATTCCCAGTTTAGTAGTAGTAGAAACTCAGTAAATGAAATTTATTCTCTACGTCACCGATACTCTTGACTCATCAAATCTGTCAGTTATCAGCAATCCCGTACACTTGAGAGATTTTGATGAACAACTAACTAAGACAATCAAGAATTTTCTTGATTAACCACGAATCCATGAAATTTGAATAAAAACATAAATTTGGAAGCTAACAAGTCATAAGCAAGAACCCACTTCTAAATATAATACAGAAAAATTAGATCTTGGCTGAACTGACTTCTATACAGACACAGCGTACCTTGGACAGATGGCCTCTGGAGACGAGACGTCGAATGTTGTCAGAGATTGATTTAAGCGCTTTATTGAGAGCAGTGGAGTCAGAGTCGTGAACGATGACATCAAGCCCGTTCGCCGCGGCGAGTTGGGCGATGCCGGAGCCCATTTGTCCGCCACCCACGACCCCGATGCTCTTGATCTCCACCATGTCTCAGCGTTAGTCTCCTTCACCACTACGAACGCAACTTTTAATAATGAGGGAAAGAAAGGAGCGGATAATAACAAAGAGAAATTGATGCAAAATAATACTTGTCATCGTGTTGCCACCCAGCCCAGTATTTAAAATAAAATTGAAGAATTTTGGTCCAAATCAGCATTGGCCCCGCTCCCTGCTCCCCCATATAAATATGAGCAACTTACAAAAATATCTTTAAAATTAGAGATATTTTGAAAAATCATATAAAAAAATTTTAAAAGTAAAAAATACTGTGTAAAATTAAAAAGTGACACAATGAAACTTTTTTGTAAAAAAATTGTCACTCCTTTCAAAATTTAAAAAAAAGTGACAAAATTCAAAAAAAGTGACACAAATACTCAAAAAGTGACAAAAGAAAAAAAAATAGACAAAAAAAAGTGACAAACACCAAAATAGCATCATTCATTTGTATAGGACCAGTAATCATGTTCATATCCATCATGTCCAGGGCAATTCATCTAACAAATGACAAAAAAAAAGGGTCAAACGCTAAAAAAGTGACATATATTATATAAATTGAAAAAAGTGACAAACATTCAAAAAAGTAACGAACATTCAAAGAAAGTGACATACACTCACAAAAGTAATACAAATTAAAAAAAAAGTGAGAAAAAATAGAAAAAAGTGACACAAAACATTTGAAAGAGTGACAAAAAAATCAAATAAATTGACTCACACTAAAAGAGTGTACAAATCCCCAAAAAAAAAAAGGAAAAAAAAGAAGAAAAGTGGCGAAAAATTAGAAATGTAACAAAAATTCAAAAAAAGTGACAAGAATTTGGAAAGAGACAGAAATTTAAAGAAAGTGACAAACGCTCGAAAAAGTGACAAAGTTCAAAAAAAGTAACGTACGCTAAAAAATTGGCACAAATTAAAAAAAAAATAACGTCAAATGCACAAAATGTGACGAAATGGGAAAAAATAAAAAAAAAAAAAAGGCAAAAAGACAAAAAAGGAAAAAAAATTAAAAAAAAAAGGGAAAAAAATAAAAAAAAAAAAAAAAAAAGAAGTGACAAAAATAGACAAAGTAACAAAAAATCGAATAGCCGTAGAAATTCAAAAGAAGTTACAAAAGTTCAAAATAATGACAAACATTATCATTTTTAAGTGACATAATGTTTCTTTTTAAAGTTATGTATGATATACAATGTCATTTTTATTAAAAGTGATGTTTGTCACTAAAAAAGTGACAAAACTTCAAAAAAAGTGACAAGCACTCAAAAAGTGATAAAATTCAAAAAAAAGTGACAGCCATCGTTTCTTCTCTTTCTCCATTCATCGTCAAGCATTTTTAAATCAGTTTACTGACAAAACACCAATTAAAATGTCAAGTATCTTTAAATCAATTCATAGCCACCGTTATCTTACAACTCAACTAATCCATTGACTTCCACTTAATGAAAATCCCAACATGAGAATAAACTGAGTTATTTTTTATTTTTATTTTATTTTTTTCAATCTCCATTGCTGGAAGAGGTCATCACCTACACCGGATTCAACTACTCCTTCACCACCACCAAAATGTGAGAATTTTCAAAAAATATGATTGAAAAAAAAAAAAGAAGAAGAAGTGACAAATACCATCAAAAAGTGACACAAATTCAAAAATGTGACGAAAAATAAAAAAATTGACGTAAATTAAAAAAGTGACAAAACATCAATTAAAATCTTAAAATAAATCATTTTATGCAAATTCAACCACTCCACCTCCACCTCCACCTCCACCACCACCACCACCACCACACCATAACCCATAGTTCAACCCAACACACCCAAACCTCAATCCAGATTCCTTCCCATTTTTTTAAACAGTAAAAGCGATCTCGCCGATTACAATCGTCGCACTGTCATCATCAAGCTCCTTCATCAACTACATGCCAAACTCCCTACCAACTTCACCAACCCACTGCATTATAATAACATGACAATGATTAGTCATATAGTAGACATATTTCACATAGTAGAAGAATTATAGTTTCAACATTAGCCACATACCTCGATGCCACCCAAGGTTTGACACAATGGACATCGTTGAACTTTGCGATAAGAGAATTTTTATAGCAATAGAAGTGCTCTTAATGACTGAGAGAAGCATCTTAAGAAGAACATTTGTGAGAGGTTCCGATCCTCTAAAATGTTGAGCAACAGGGGCCTCTTCCTCTTAAATGTTGGGGTGATAATGTCCTAATCCATATCAAACGGTACGAGATCGAGGTTCATAGCTTTAATGACTTCTAAGCTTCTCAACTGCCAAGAAAAAGTAATTAGGACTGTGAAAGTATTTGAATCTTTAATGGTGGACAATTATTTCTTTGTGCTTTCAGCAACCATATTCAAACGTATGCTCAAAAAAAGTCAATGAAGAAATGTCTATGATTAGTGATGATAAGCTACAATAATAAACATAGGTAAAAAATGATAAACCTAAACCATTTCTTTTATCTTTTGTAACCTTCTTAAGCTGTCCAAGTATGTATTCTCTCACTTAGGTATTTTCGCAAAGCGCATTTTGTCAATAAATTGGGAGTTATTTAAATTTGTCAATTAGTCAATAAACTTCATAAGGATGCTTCCACAAAATATAAAAGCCATATGAATCATATGATGTTTATTCAAATACATCATGTCTTTAAATGTAAATATAAATTACAATTGAGACATTTTGTCAACCACCCTGATAGTATCTTAGAAAGTCAAAGGGAAAGAGTGTGTCATATAATTTTGGAGCTAATCCAAAATTTAATAACAATATCTTTTATGCATTTATACACAAAAACATCACAATCTATGCCCAAACCTGCTTCAAATATAAACGAACGAAAAAACTACTCAAAATCAAAGTTCAACCACAAAAACAATGTTTATTCAATATTACCTTCCAAATCACGAGTGTAATTCTTCATGTTTGAACTTCCTTCTGCACTTCCAGATTTTCTCTTGAATGACTTTGATTCATGATATTAATTTACCTACTTTGATCATAGATAAAATCGACCAAATATCAACAAAGATATACCAAATCTGAGCATTTACAGCGCAAGAAAAGGTTTTCACTCAAGATTCGCCCCAAAATCACCCAATCGTCCAAATGGGAAACTCTCGTTAAAAGTACAAAGAAGCAGCAGCATTAAATTCTTAGGTGAGGTTTTCTCACTATAGGAAGATTCAAGTCGAAGTAGGAGTCAGGAGCGAAGATTTCTCGAAAATTTTCTGATTCAAGGCTTTCTCCTTCTGATTTGGGATTTTGTCGTGGTTTTGAACGTAATTAATACGGTAATAGTAGTTTAAGTTAGTTTTAAGGTATTAATCAATTACATAATTTTTTTAGGGCACTGCACCTAATTTTCCCTATAAATATTAAGATGAAATTGTAGAACTTTTGCCCAAATATTAGCATTAGCCCAACTTTAGTTTAAATCTCAACCCAAATCCAGTGCCCAACTATTCAAATAGCAAAATATGAATATTTTGCTGTCAAATTAGATATTTTATTTAATGCATGTTTAAATAAATTTTACTTATAATTATTAAGTAAATTTTATTATAGATAATTTGTGTTGATTACATCTAAAAGGAACATTACTTATTTTAATAGTTTGAGATACAAGTATTTTTCTAAATTTAAAAGTTTTTTTATTAATACATATGTTTTCATTTATTACTAATATATTTTTATAAAAAAAATTTACTTATTTTGACCATAAAATAGATGCTATGGTCAAAGTTACTAAAAGAGTACTCATTAAGTAATTTTTTTAAATTTTCATTGGTGGATATGTATTTTTGTTTATTTCAATCATGATTCGGTTAGCTTATATTTTATAAGGTAAGTGTTGATTTTTTATTTGGTAAAAAATTACAAAAATTTAGTTGAATATCTTAATGTGAGACATCTAAACTTTTTTTTTTTATTTCATTAATTATCTTATACTTTTTATGGTGAATGTCACAAAAATAGCCTCCGAAACTTGATTTCTTATGGCGTAAGTTCATTCAAAAAAATTTAAGTTCAAGCTCATCCTAACCTAATTTTCTGGCTCCGCCCCTATGTTGTGATGACGGATGACCCAACTATGAACGTTCAAGGATCCTGGATGCAAGACTAGGCTATAAAAATTTCATATCAGGCTATTACGCGAAAAAAAAATATTATAAATAAAAAACTGTTTTCGAAATAAAAAGGGAGAGACTATAGCCTAGTCTAGTCCCCTTACATCCGCCCCTATTAATCAAATAGGTAGGTTTTGCTGCACTGACATAGGGTTGATATAGGTAATGATAGAACACATGCAAGGTTTGACATTTTTTTAATTCACACTAGACCCACACACAACATGTGAAGTTGATCAGCCGTTATGTCAACCAATTCGACCACTTTAGCTCAATTCCAAACGAATTGGCCTAATAAGTCCAATCATGTCCTACTAATAGGTTTATAGTTTGCCTACATTGATTTGATGTTAAATAATTCGTGAGTATTTCAAAATAGGAAAAAATCATTTGTATTCGGGCGTGTACACTCCCGTGTACGTATAGTTGAACCCTTATATTTAAGTCTTACTATTTCAAACGTACTTCTCCTAATCTTTTACTATTTCAAGGTATCCTACTTTGGATAATTTAAGCACAACAGGCTGTAACAAACAGCTTACGTCATTATAAAGAGAGAGAAAGAGTCATTTTAAAGGTATAAATTTCTGAAAGAAAATAAAAAATAAAAAATGAGAGATCTAACTCTTTACCATGGCTAGAGGGGGAAACGGACCAAACCGAGCCAATCAAAGGGCAAAAAATCAGCTTCGACTCAGCTCGATTCCATCCACTACCCTGACAATTCGAGTTTGTTAACCTGTCCATTGTCACGGGTACTTTTAAAAATTGACCTAGTCAAACCATCAAAATTTCACATTGACTTTCTAACAATTGAATATTATCAGTTATTACAATGGTCTTGAAAATTAAAAAACAAGGATGCTCTTAAATATATTATACAATTAAAAAATATTATTTTGTTTAAAAGATATTACTATCCTTTTAGATAACAATTGAAAACCAAATGCTTCTCACTTAAAACTTCAAA